AGCCGGCCGGCGGCGGGTATGCCGCCACCATGGCCGGCAGCCAGCAGCAGCAGCAGCAGCAGCAGCCCCCGCACACCGGCGGCCGGTACCATGCCCCGGGCCCGGGCGGCTACCGGCCTCTTTCCCCGGCGGACGAGGCGGCCGATGGGCCGGCGGCGGCCGGGCCGGCGGCCCGGCGCTGCCAGTCCGACGGGGCGGTGGCCCGGCCGGCCGGCGGCCCATCGCCCCAGTCCCAGCAGCAGCAGCAGCAGCAGCATCCCCACGACCACCGGGCCGGGCCCCAGCGGAGCCGGTCGCTCCCGCGGCTGGCCCTGGCGCCGCGCGACCCGCAGCTGATTCTCTCCCGGCTGCTGGCCTTTGCCGGGCCGCTGGCCGAGCTCTTCGACCGGGTGGCCCTCGGGTCGCCGATCATCGTCCTGGCCCTCTTCATCTTCGCCAGCTCCTGCTGGGACTACCCGGAGCAGCTGGTCGAGTACCTCCCGCCGGAGGCCGACGCCCAGGGCCCCGGCCAGGAGGAGGCCACGGCGGCCGAGAGGCGCCGGCTGCTGGCGGCCGGCGGCCCCCCTCAGCGCCCCCCCTCGCACCACCTGTCGTACCACTCGTCGCAGCACCACTACCAGCACTACCACCACCCGCAGCAGCAGCAGCAGCAGCAGCAGCAGCAGCCCTTCTACCATGCGACCGGCGATCTGGAGCACCACCGCCGGGGCGGCGCCGGCCGGCGGACCAAGCGCCGGCCCGCCACCCCGGGCCGGCGGTCGCCCGCTGACCGCCACGACCCCGGGCCGCAGCAGCACCGGCCGCCGCATCTCGGGCCCGGCGGCCCGGCCACCGACTACGACACGGAGCCCGAGCTGTCCAGCAGCTCCAGCCTGCACATGTCCGGCCTCGGGTCGCCGTCGGCCGACGAGCTGCCGGCGCTGGCCTTGTGCGTGGACACGGCCGTGCCGCTGCTCCAGGCCCCCGGCACCCCGGCCGATGAGCGCCGACTGCCGGGCTCGCAGCATGGCGTGGCCGGCGCGGCGGCCGGCCACGCCGCGTCGCACCGCGCCGCACACCCCCATTTGCCGGGCTTCGCGCAGCAGCCGGCCGCCGCCGGTGGCGGCCCCCCGCCCCACGAGCCCTCCATGACGCGCCGGCGGGTGCTGGATGCGAAGTCCGGCCCGGAGGCCGGTCGCCCGCGCCGCTTGCCCTACCCCCAATCGTGCTTCAGCATCCGTGAGAACCCCTTCTCGGCCGGGGCCGGCCCCTCCACCAGCTGTCTGTCCATCTGCCCGAGCGGCCTCGCCCGGCAGGGCATGTGCCTGCGTGCGTATCCTCGTGGCCCGTTTGTGGCCTGTGCGCGCCTCCCCCCCCGCCCCCGCCCCCCTGGCCCAAGCACGGACCCCCGGGGCCGGAGAAGCCATGCCACCCCAGGCGCCGGCCGCCCTCCGTGGTCCCTCCCGCCGCCCCTTCCCCCCGCGCCCGGCTCCCGCCCTGCCACGCGCTTTGCACGCTCGCCCTTCGGCCGCTCACTCTGACCCCACGCCCATGCTGGTGCTCCCCTCGCTGGGACTCGCCATATCCCC